TTTGAGACAAGCTTCCGAGAACAGTCCAAACCGCTTTATGAGACTGATGTTCGGCGGCGGTTTGCTCGGAATACATTTGCCTTTTTTCAAGCGCTTCCTTCAAATCGATATACGTTATAAGGGTTTGAACTTCTATTACGGCTCTTCTCCGGGCTTCTCTAATACAGGGGTTTTTTCCTGGACTCACCTCATCTAACTGGGCGATTAATCCCTGCAGTTCTGCTTTGGATCCCAAATACAAATCAGAAGCATTCTCTGTTTTTAAAAGTAAAGCATTGACTTCCTTCATTTTCTTGCGGATCTCTTCTATTTTTAGAATGGACTGATTTTGTGCCAAATCATAAGCGTGAGTAGAATTTGCTTCTTCTTCCAAGTCCAGATATTTCTGCAACTTATTGATCTCTTCCACGACTTCCTTTCTGTAATTTCTTATTTCCGTGCGACCACAGACATCTAAAGCATCCAAATCAGCAATGAGACCTGTGAGCACACAGGAGAGATGCCTGCAGGTATCATTACTGCTCACTCCCATTAGAAGCGCAATGAGAGTTCCTCTTGCTTTGTTCACATCGCACATCACAGAGTTAATTTTGGAGACAGAAGGATGCGCATCATTAGAGAGTGGCAGGGACAGCTGTTGCTTTACACAGCTTTCTATAATCTCCTGAACAGCACACACTTTTGTCAGAGTGCGGTATCTTGCTTTGCGTAAAGAAACTTTCCCTCCAGTTTTCACCTGGGTAAGCCTCAATACAATGTCCTGAATACCTTCTTCAAATTCATCACTTATACAGTTACCTCCTTTGTAAAAAGGTGTAATCTCACGTTCCACAAGTGACTGTGCCTCTTTGAATATGGCCTCTATTTCCAGCCTGCGTGGATGGTTTGCAGTTTGTTCCAGTTCCTTAAGCAGCCTCTCCGTTTCCTGAGCAGCTCGTTTTCTGGCTTGCTGAATATCCCCCTTTCCTTCGGTGTCTACAGAATCTATTTCAAAAAGCTGTTTAGTAAGACTTCTTTCTAATTTCTTGTAATCTCGATCAGTAGACAGACCACTGAAGACAACCACTTGCTGTTCAATCTCTTTGACTTCTTTCTGTATTTCATGCAACCGTTTTATGGATGGGTGTTGGTTACCCATATCCATTCTCTTCTTGCGTCCAGTTTCAGATGAACTACAAGGGAAGAAAGAAAGCGACTTGAGATTAATAAAGCACTACGCAGGCACTTCATTATGCCGCATGCAACAACTTTCACGACATCCTGAAGCACTTCAGCATTACAGCTATTTTACATATGGCTAGCGAGAGGGATAATCCATTTGGCTGATACTTCATAGCCATTCCTCTACTGCTGCACACCTCCTTCCCGCTCGGGCTGCAGGAGCTTTAGTTACCGCGCCGCCAGCTCTGAGCGTCTACCCGCAACCTTCAGCCCTCCCTTCCCCACCTGCTCCGCTGCCGAAGGCATCGCACATCAAACCGGATGCCCGCAGCCCAGGGGAAAAGCAGCGGCTCAAACCGACCGCCCCCGGGGTGCCACAACCCCAGGGCAGAGCCGCCTTCTCCCGCACGGGCCCCACCGCCCCCGCTCCGCACCTC